TGATTCCAAGAACTGTGCCGAAGCGATATTCGAGATAGTCGCGTCTTGCAGGTTCTAGATTGACGCGGTCAATCTCACTAATCTGAGTTAGTATGTTCGGTATGCCACCATAGTTGTACTTGACACTCACAACCAAGTCCTCCAGAAGACACGTGATATCCACATACAATGACGATCGATAGCACCGCCCATGTAGTTGCGACCCATAAAGTCTACCTGGTTTTGTACGTAGAAGTCGACCACCCCGATGACACCATTGGGGCTAAGAAGGCTGTCGATCGAATCAATGGCCGAATAGAATTCAGGTATCATCGATAATGCGTAGCTCATGGTCACCAGCTCTGCACCACCAGCATCAGCGTTCTCATCCAGATCGTGTACTGCATGGTTCCGAGATACAGTCTGTTTGCGGTTATAGGCTTGCGATTCATGTTCGTGGAGGCGGAAAGCGCGGGCGTCCTGGCATATAACCTTGACATTAGTCCACCCAAGGCGTGTAAATCGCTTGCGGGCCATCTCGCAGAGACTCGGTGAAAGGTCAACGACATCTATCTCATTAGTGTATGCTCGAAAATGCATATTCGGTGACCGTACAAACTGCGCGGAAGAATTCCGGAACGGAGATAAAATCGTTCATTTGTTCGACACTAGCATCTTGTCAGATAGTGCTCGTTCGTTGAAGGGCGCTTGTGGGCATTACTTGTGGCCTGTTCCGCCGCCAATCTAGAGCTGTTAGCATGTTTCGACGCAAGTCTTCTGATACATACATCAACCCAGACGGGACGCTGCGTGATTAATCCAGCTTCGGCACGGTGCTTTAGCTGCGCTGCGACCAGACCCAACATATCCTCGCGACCACGAAGTAAACGAACACGAGTAGCATCGTAAACATCTGCTTGTGCCTTGTAAAAGCTCTCCTGCGACACTTTAGCTTATAATTCGTAACTTTGGTACCGTGAAGATCATACAAGAGCGTCTTGTTGGCTGCCAGAACCATCACCCGTATGAGGCTTCAGAAAGCATCCATAAATGAATTTCAAATATGCTTCAATTGTCCCCACAGGCCGACCCTTGCTCTGCGGTCTCAGAGAGAAGACAAAGACTGTGGCAACCAAGATACCGACGAAGCACAAGGCAACCGTAAGCTGGTAGAACGGGTCACGAGGGACAAAAGTCGAAAGTCCCACCATGGCTGCGACTATAGAGAGAGCAAAAATCAACGAGAAAGGGAAGGGGAAATGCAGCCATGTGCAAGAGTGCCCCTCATGGCTTATATGAGGATATGTGGCCAACGTTCCGAAGCATCTTTCCGACTTCGGTTCGTCACAACGCTGGCCCACATGATGCTAAACAAACGAGCAGCTGCGTAAGGCTTCGGCATGACTCTTGGGGAGTGTATCAGCCAATGAAAGGCGCCACATGCTTCGATGATCCAGAGACGGCGCATAGCACCATATTTTGAGGCGAAGTGGGATGTCTAGTACCTCGAACGCGCTCGTGCAACCGCTCCAAGCGGTTATGCAGGGCCTTGAGAGGGACCGAAAGCTTCTCCAGATTTCGTAGGAGCCATAGAGATAAAGCAGAGGATGGGCCTATCAGGACGAGTGACGCTTGCGCGTGGTTGAAGTGGGCGTGGTGTTGAGCTCCTGAGGTTGAGGTTCGTTGTCGTGTCGGTAGCCAATCACGCATCGCTGTGCAGCGGCGTGCTAGCTTTGTGCCTCGATGCAGGGACAACTCCGGATCGACGGCATCTGATAAGTCTGAATGTCAAAGTGACTTGCATGCGGGCATGGCGGCCGAGAACTGTTGCGCTGTGCTCACATTGATGCATGCAAGCGTTGGGCGACGCCGGCAGTGGCATCGTCATAATGTTAGCGCTCTTGCCGCTTGTCAGTATCGAAGCTGTTACACGACACTCTCCCAAACTTCCTCGATGACTATCGGCGTGTAGATAGAATGGTCTGTCAACATACTTCTTTGTAGTTCGAATCGTGGTCACTGGCCTATTGTGCACCCTCGCCACTTACTGACCACACACAGCCGCCCAACAGGCACCAGAAACATACGGTTGAACTACACGTCACGAGATTAGTGACCTATATCAGATATCTTTAGCTCATACGATAAGAAACCGAATCACTTCGCCGTGGCGCAGCTCGGTACCTTCATTTTTAGTCAGCTGTCGATCGTAGATGCTCATTGCTGCGGGTGGAAATGGGCAGCGGTGAAGTAAGAATCCAATGCATCGGTTTCTCTTAGTTGAAGTCATTTCATTAGGTTCAATGGCCATGCTGATCCTCTATTTGATTTACAGACCCAAGTGGTATTGTGAATATGCAACCGTTAGTCCTCAGGCATCCCATCGGTAATGTAGGTGCCTTATGCGTAGAAGTTGACTGTGTCCTTCTTCTTGGCCTAGATAATGGTTAGCATATGACAAGTAGGGTGATGAACGCAGTAAAGACTTACTTGAACCTCCGCAATGGCATCAACGTAGTGCTCGTGGCTGATCTTCTGTTGTCCAGATCGTAGCGCAATCATACCAGCCTCAACGCAAACAGCCTTCAGCTGCGCACCACCGAACTCGTCGGTACTGCGAGCCAATTCCTGCCAGTTGACAGCCTCGTCCACGGTCATCTTTCTTGAGTGGATACGCAGAATCTGTGCGCGAGCCTCCTCATTTGGCAAGGGAAACTCGATTTTCCTGTCGAGACGCCCAGATCGAAGCAGAGCAGGATCCAGAACATCGACTCGATTTGTGGCTGCCAGGACCTTGACACGGTCATCGGAAGCAAAGCCGTCCAGCTGGTTTAGAAGCTCCAACATGGTTCGCTGCACTTCCCTATCACCGGACTTTTCAGAATCGAAACGCTTCGTGCCGACCGCGTCCAACTCATCAATGAAGATGATTGAGGGGGCCTTCTCTTTGGCAAGCGCGAAGCAGTCACGAACGAGCTTCGCACCGTCTCCGATGAACATCTGCACAAGTTGTGGGCCTGCGAGCTTGAGGAATGTGGCATCGGTCTGCGCAGCGCATGCTCGGGCGAGAAGGGTCTTGCCGGTACCGGGAGGCCCATACATCAGTGCACCTATGTCGTGTCAGCCGGAATAGAATGGTGAAATTGTATCGTGTGCATACCTTTTGGTGCCTTGATACCAATCTTCTTGAAACGCTCAGCCTCCTTCATCGGCCAGACTACCGCCTCAACGAGCTCCTCGATCTGCTTGTCCAGACCTCCGACATCGGTGTACTTCTCTGTTGGCTTCTCGTCAACCTCCATAGCCTTCACGCGGCTATCGTACTCGGCAGGCAATGTATCGAGAACGAGGTATGAGTCCTTGTTGACACCAATCAGATCACCAGGCTTGAGCTTCTCGTGATCTACTAGGCCAATGAGGGGCAGGAAGATGGTTTGTCGCGTCGAAGTCTTGATGACGGCGGACTTGCCAACACGAGTTGCGTCCAAATCGATGTTCGCTCCTTCCTCCGCCGCCTCGGCAGTGACGTCGAGATCAAGTATTTCAACGACATTCCCGACAAGATATGGGAGTTGCCTGCGCATAATCAGCGACCGTTGATGTAGCCCGCCACCACTCTGTCCACTAAGCTGGTAACGGGTGTCAGCAGTACTCACCTGTTGTTCTCGATCTTCTCGAGATTGTCCTTGATCTTCTCGTTCATGGTGGCCTTCTCGTGCGTCAGACGTTGGAACTCGCTCTTCATGATGCGCATGTCATTCTCCAGTAACCGCCGCCGCGCGACGATGTCTCGTGTGCTTGAGTTGAGAATATCTTCGTCGAGCTGTTCCTCCTCCTCTTCTGGCTCAGCGTCTTTCATGTCTGCATCGCCGTCCTTCTTGCCGCCGTCTCCGTCTTTCTTCTTGTCCTCATCCTTCTTCTCATCCTTCTCGTGGCGCTCAAGGTCTTCGAGATCTTCGAGTGTAGACATGGTGGCGGTGTGGGGCGAGGTGGATGATGGAGACTGTGAGTGTGTCTGATACGGTAGCGAGAGTACGGCGTTGTCGTTAAAGAGCTACGAATGCAGCAAAGCCGAAGGTGCGATATGGTTAGGTGAGTGTTTGGAGGCAGCTGTCGATTACGAAGTGGAAGCTCCCGCGATTACTTAGCTCCAGGCTTGGCAGTCGGCGCTTTAAACCAAACACCGATCAGCCTCACAAGGACCAAGTGTTCGCAGGTTCTCACATACGATAAGTATATGGGTGGATGGAATGTGACCAAGTTCTGTAGATGATCTAGAGACCTAAGAGACATCTGAGTGAAGTTTCAAAAAAAATTCTGCTACACAGCAACATGGAGGGAGATAGCAGGCTTCGCCTCACGTCTTGGGGACTTTCTGCCTCAAGTGCGAATTTGGTTGCCACATTACTCCTCAAGGCCTGTAACGAACGAACGCTCGCAAACTGTAGCGTGGTTCATAGCATGGAATGTTGCAGGGTTGTGCTGAGGTCTTAGATTATAGGGAGGTGCGTCAGTCATCGTAAGAATGCCATCTGATGTTGCCATATAGCAACGAGGAGATCGGCAAACATTTTTCTTTTACTCGTTCCACTTGCAAATCCTCGAGAGATAAATCGGTCACTACATGCTGGCGCTGAAAGTGTGCATCCGTGAAGTTTCTGTTGCAAAACCAGGTTGTGTGGGAGCACCATAGCACTTGGAAAGAGTGCATGGATTTCATGGTAGAGCTCGCCAGATCATAATGTTACTAGGAGAGGGTTCATATTCTTGCCTGTAAGAGGCTGTAAAAACAATGTATCGAAGTTGTGGTGGGGTGGGTTCAAGGGGGCGGGATCACTGACCATTCGCTCGATACGAGGACACCCTGCGCCCCAAAGCGGGGTCAAGACCAAAGAAAGAACCTTCAAATGATTGAGGAACCAGTAAAACTATTGTAGTCAATGATACTATCAATTTGTTATGGTTATATATTATCTAATTTGCAAAAATCGTTATTCATCCACTCGCTGCAGTGGACTACGGGCACCATGGCCTAATGGTAAGGCGTTGCTTTCCGGTTCAGCCTGGCAAAGATTGTGGGTTCGAGTCCCACTGGTGTCGTTCTTTTGCTCTATTTAATATCTTTTTGTTTTATCTCGTTGCGTGGAGGCTGGCCCGAGGTGTTGTGGTGTTGATGCGCGGGTGTGGTGGAGCGCCACAACGCTACCTACCCACCCACTCACACTTTTGGAACATCTATTTTTGCTCATATTACATTCGGATTAATGCGCAGAACATCGTAGAACTTTGGGTTTTCTGAATAGTACCAATGTTCGCCCTTCGACGCGTCTCTGGCGCATTGAAAGCATCGTGAGCTTCATGTACATATTCAGCACCGCAATCCAGCTAATAATCGACAGATGCCCTACTACCACAGCGTCCGCACGCGTAGTATGCTCAGCAACAAATGCTTCACGCGTATGCCATGCGAATCAAAATTTTACTTTAACACTGACCCTTGTGAAGCCTTTTACTCGTCTACAATTCTCGTCCACCACCAATCACGTGTGTATCTCAACGTGGAGTGCTCTGTGTGTTTGACTGTCGCTGATTTGCGTTGTTGTGTCGTAGTATGCGCAAACAGTCACGACGGGTATGGATGTCAAAGTCCCAGCAGCTGATATCGAATTTGCCAACGGCAACGTGGTTGTGTCACAAGAGAAGATGTAAGTCGCTTCGGCTTCGGATACAATAGTAGACTGATGTCTTTTTAGCCCGAATATATGGCTGCGGTAATTGATCATCCCGCAAGCATTTTTGAATCTCACATTGGCTTATATTTTGATGCCAGAGACAATTGCCAGTGCCAGAGCTGCGTGCATGATGCGACAAAGCAAAGGCTACTAGACACATTCACGGTACAATCTCTCAAGAGATGCTTTTTTGCATCTGCTGACCTCGGGTACACCTAGATACCCAAAGACATTCAGATCAATGAGCATGATCTACTTGACACAAATAATGTGAAGATCAAATGTAAGTCATCACCTTGCATGGTCTCGATCATGGTTACTAATGATCTTGGTAGGGAGTGACGGGCACGAGAGCGTTTATCCTTGCGCTTTTCTTGCTCGTATAGCCCATAAAAAACACAGCATGGCTTCCACGCGCCAGGGCTTGACAAGGTAGCTTTCGCCAGTATTGCTAACAGCCGCCTGACTGACGACTTCCAAGGCCGTATTACTGGGATGCATCTATTGCTCAAGACCCACCCCGTGTGTTATTCAATCAGGAGGATCGGATGCTCGCTATGCTCCAAAAAATTGTACGTCACGCAGCTTCCTCAAGCCAGCTCATATCTAACAACTCAACCCCTAGCGCACTCACGGCTTCTGCTACGTTGACGATGTGCCTCACTCTGATCCCTCTGCCACCGAGGAGCTTCTCAGGAGCATCGCATTCATCCGCGAAACCCACTATGGCGGGTTCTATGACTTCACCGCCGACCTGGCCTCAAAAGATACAGCATACACCAACATTGCCCTGGAAGCACACACCGACACGACCTATTTCTCGGACCCCGCAGGTCTGCAGGCTTTTCACCTTCTCTCACACACCGATGGCGAAGGAGGAGCCTCTCTCCTCGTGGACGGCTTCCAAGTCGCTAAGCAACTCCGGAGGATCAATAGGAAGGCGTATAAGATCCTCTCAACTGTGGAGGTGCACTCTCATGCTTCCGGTAACGATGGAATCAGTATCCAACCCTATCGTGGCTTCCCCGTCCTTGAACATGGCCCGGCAAACGACACTCTCCTGCGTGTGCGTTGGAATAGTGCTGATCGTGCAAGTATCGAATTACCCATTGGGCAGGTGGAGAAGTGGTATGATGCTGCGCGTGTTTTCGACGCTTTATTGAAAAAGAAGGAGAATGAATACTGGGAGCAATTGACGCCGGGGCGGGTGTTGATATTCGATAATTGGAGAGTTATGCATGGTCGGAGCGCCTTCACAGGCAAGAGGAGGATTTGTGGTGGATACATTAATCGCGATGACTGGATCAGTAGGTATAAGATGGAACACTTCGGCAGGGACAAGGTGCTGGAAGCCCTTGCTACTGGTTAGAGCGGAGGGGGAGCATGTTTATAGCACGATACTGCATAGAGAGGTCTTGAAAGGATCGAAATGCATGTTGATACATTCTGTCTTGGCGCCTGAGATCTTATGTACAGTTGCCACGATGTCAAGGAAATACTCTGGTCTCTTCTCTTCATCTTCTCCCCCTCGCGATTCCTCAACTTCCCCGTGAGGTTCGCTCTTGCTCCAATTCCAGCTCAGCCTGTCGGTAGTATTTGGCAGTGTCGACACCGTGGTAAGGGTGGTTGACAAAGTTTGGCCACAAGAGGACGTGGGAGAAGGTCGACGAGTATCGCGAGTTCCTGTGCGCAACACCCTGCATGTACTCGGTCATTTCGGAGGTGCCATACAGCGACTCGCCCTTCTTGACCTTGTCAACCATCTCCCTCATGTCCATCTCGACTTCACGGCGGTTCTCGCGAGCTCCGTAGAAGCGGGCTGTTATGCACAATTAGCTCTGCCTTTTCGCGTTCGTGCTCCATGACATGGTGCCTCGCTCGTTTCAATTCCGGGGCCAAACATACAGCATGACCTCGAGTAGGCGAAGACAAAGGCGCCGCAGACACCGACAGCACCGCTCAGGCGCATGATGGGCGCAAATCCACCCTTGCCGACGAAAGAGGGTGAGACTCTCTCCCAGTAGAGCATCAAAGCAGGGCTAATAGCTCCGACTCCAGCACCGTATGCCCAATCGGAAGGGCGGGTATACCGCATTACTCGCTTGAAGTGTCTACAACATGGTAAGTACTCGTATACGTTCGGGAGCGTCATGCAGCGTACGGGTCATTGTCGATGAGCTGCAGGGCGTTAGCTATATTGACCCATTGCGCGCGGTGCAGTGGTTCAATTGCTTACAGGATACTCTCCAGTTGGGACCTTGTCCGGCACAACGGCCTGATGCCTCACAGCATTGTCTTGTGCGCTCGACATTTTGCTGGTGGAATGACGAATTGCGGAGTCGCTGCGCTTGGTACGAGTGAAGTTGACGGCCAAGCGGGCAGGCGGTGGTCCATGCGCCAGAGAGCGCCTTCCGCGCGCCTGTGGTCGCTCCTGCAACTTTTCTCTTGGCGCGTCATGCGACTGACGAAACCGCAACAACAATGAGCGCGCACCCCGTTCACTACGCCATTCAAGCCTGAAGACACCATCTCCGGGTCTGGAACTATCACGATGGAGGGCATCAAGCAGGAAGTGTCTTCTAAGCCCCGGAACGGCGCGACCATGGCGCATGCGACCGAATCGTCGAACCTCCACGCTCGCCCTACTGTCGCCGATCTACACGGAGAGAATCACTTCGCGCAGGTCGCGAGAAAGAACTGGTTGGCTGCCAAGAAGACGCCCAAGGTGCGACCTGAAGTGGTCAAGAAAGAGCTATGGGATGAGCTGGAGAACGTCGACTTTGCATACTCGTCGCTACTGATACTGGAGAACCTGCAGTTACTGGAGAGATACCTATGGCCTGGATTCACCGAGGATGCATCGAACTACCACCATTTGCTTCTGGCGCTCATGGTCAATGTCAAGAGGAGGGAGAATCTCGCGTCTTGGGGTAAGAAACTCCCAGTGTGTCGACATGCCGTGAGCAGAAACTAACCTATCGCAGAGCATTTTGCGAGCAAGCCGACCGAGTTCTCGTCCTTCTTCCGTCGCATTCTTTCCATGACCGTTGACCCTACGCAATCATCCAAGATCCGTACACAACTCATATCTTTCGTCATTGGCGCGTTCCAGTCTCTAGACAGTGGCCTGGTCCGAAAAGAGTGCGCACCTTTGGTCGGCATTTCAGTATGGCATAACTTGCACTCGGAAGCCGTGCGCGACAAACAGTTTGAGGAACACCAGATGTTGCGTAAGGCTTGGAGGGCTACCTCGAAGCGATTCGATGCTGCCGACGAAGCATTGCAGGCCAGGCTACGCTTCGAGCGGACATGGTTATATACGCTCCTTCTCGACTTCATAAATCGACTTTACAACAGCACGACAAAGGAGGAGATCAGGGACAACTTGGCATACTGCGAACGTTTCCTCGAGTTGCTTACAGATCTTGAAAGTCAGTTACCAACACGACGATATGTGAACACCCTTATCAAAGATCTCAACGTCCTGGCTTCCATCCAGTTGTCTCCAATGTACGCCGATGAAGACAACGGCCTGTTTCGGGACTTGTTCAATCTGCTCAGCCACTTTGCGAACTTTCCCATCGAGGACCAAACTGGCAAGCAATTGTCCAAGCTAGAGTACGACCAACAGCACTACGATCTCCTTGCAAAGCTGCAGCGAAAAGGCTATGCAGCATTCCAAGAAAAACTACAGTTAATGGCACTCGCGAACTATGGCAGCATTGGCAACCGAGAAGAGCTGGATGGTCACCTCAGAGCGTTAAGCGACGATGAGCTCGTTCAATTGTGCTCCCTGATGGACTTGCGAACTGAGTATCCAAGCTCTACGTTTCTGGTTCGCGACCGGGCTTTCTACATGGAGGCCTTGTGCTCGCTCGTCGAGCAAAGGTCGACGTTCAAAGACATTGTCCGTGACATGCCCATCCTACCGACCGAAAAGATCTTGTACGAGACCACGTTCCTTCGAAACGAAACATATAACGGATCGAGGCCACTCGCAATACCAAAGCTGAACCTGCAGTATTTGACCATCGGCGATTTTCTATGGAGGTCGTTCATTCTCTATAGAGCCGAAGCGCTCTACGGTATTCGCAAGGACATGGAGGATGTCGTCAAGAGGGTGAAGCCGCGAGGGAAAGGAGCCAACTGCAAGTTTGGTGGTGTGTCGAAGATGGCACTGCCCATCATGAAGCCGGCTGTCGTAGACGTGGCTCCCCCCAAGGTTGGTGAAGAGCATCCGGCATATGTACGCGCAGAAATCATCCTCGACGTCAGCAGGCTTCAGTACGGCGTCCGCAGAGAATGGGAGCAACTTAGGACAGACGATGTTGTCTTCCTTGTCGCTATCGAGGGTCAGGACGATGTCCC